AGATCGAAAAATCTCAAAAGACCTCCCCCCCTCAAAATAGATCCACTCCTAGATGTAATACAATGAAGCTCATTTTCTCTCATTCATTATGTCTTCCAATGCCAACCATTTTCCTGTAAATGGGTTGATTTCATTTTTCTCTGGCTATGTAATATTCCACAGTGAATGTATATGTGCACTCATACGTGCATGCACAGATATGTGCAGAATATGCACTGCTCCTCAATTTTGATATGAATCTAAGCTGCACTAAAAAATAGCCTTGGCTGGGAAGGTGGCTCAGTGGTAAAGCGCTTGCCTTGCATGCCTGAGGCCCTGGGTTCGATTCCTCAGCACCACATAAAGAAAAAAGCCGGAAGTGGCACTGTGGCTCAAGTGGTAGAGCGTTAGCCTTGAGCTGAAGAGCTGAGGGACAGCACCCAGGCCCAGAGTTCAGGCCCCACAACCGGACCCAAAAAAAAAAAAAATAGCCTTAAGATTACTTAAAGTAATAATTATATTGTTTTTGCCAGAATAATACACACCTCCATAGGTTATGATAAATCCAAATTGTAATCGCTGACCATGCATTAAGAAAATACAAAAACATGAGGTTGGAGACATAGTTCAGGTAGTAGAGTGTCAGACAATGAGAGAAAGCTTCATTCAGATCAAGAGTTCAAATCCAGGTCTTGAACAAAAAGAAAGAGGAAAAAAGAAAAGAAAACACAAAAACAATGCAAATTAAAAACTGTGTGTGGCAGCACTTGTCTAGCACGTGAAAGGCCTTGGGTTCAATTTCCAACTTCATAAAAAAAAAACCCCAGACCTAAATGCCTCCCTTCAAAAAATAAACAACTAATAAAAAAACAGACAAAGGGATTTAATGGATACAATAAAATTTTAACAAATCAATAAAGATGGCACAGAGGAAACAAAAAGATAAAATATAGTAAAATGGCAAGTCTACCTGTATTAATAATGTAAAATGTAAATGACCTATACATACCAATAGAAAGGTGGAAATTTTCAAACTGGGGAGAAAGAAGACCCAGTTGTATGTAAGTCTATTTGTTTATTTTTTAATTTTTTATTTTTTGTTGGTCGTGGAGCTTGAACTCTGGGCCTGGGCGCTGTCCCTCAGCTCTTCTGCTCAAGGCTAGCACTCTACCACTTGAGCTACAGCACCACTTCCGGTTTTCTGGTGGTTTACTGGAGATAAGAGTCTCACGGTCTTTCCTGCCTGGGCTGGCTTTGAACCGCGATCCTTGTTTATTTTTTTAAATAAGATGTGCTTTAAAAGAAATTGAAACAGGTGCTTGAAAAAGACATGCAAACAGCAACAAGCATTTGGCTGGGATGTAGCTAAGTGGCAAAGCGCTTGGCTACCAAGTGCAATGTCTTGGGTTCAATCCCTAGTATCAAAAAGAAAAGGACAAAAAAAAGGTGGGGGAGTGTAGGGGGCAAAGTAGTCTGATGCTGATACTTCTGTAATCCTACTCAGGAGACTGAGATCTGAGAATCATAGTTCAAAGCCAGTCTAGGCAGAGACCATGAGACTCATCTCCAATTAAGCATAAAAACAGGCAGAAGTGAAGTTGTGGCTCAAATACTAGGGCACTAGCTCAGGGACAACAACAAACAAAAAGGGCCAAAGTAATCTGAGAGTGAAGGTGATTATAAGGCTAAAATCCTAGCTACTTTGGGAGGTAGAGCCACGAAGATCTTCAGGTCCAGACTAGCCTGGGGAAAAGCAGTGAGGAAACTTAAGTCTCAAAAACAAAATATGATAAAAGCCAGCCTGGAAAACTGGAAGTGGCACTGTGGCTCAAGTGGTAGAGCGCCAGCCTTTAGCTGAAGAGCTGAGGGACAGTGCCCAGGCCCAGAGTTCAAGCCCTAGGACTGACCCCCCCCCAAAAAAAAAAAAAGAAAAGAAAAGAAAGAAAAAAGGAAAAGAAAAGAAATGCACTAAAAGGGGAAGGGGATACTGGGGACATAGCTCACAGCATAAAATGCTTGCTTAGTATTTGCAAGGCTCTGTACTCAATCTCTAATACTTCAAAAATATAAAAAGGCTGAAGTGACTATGTTAAAATTGGACATAACAAATGTTAAGGCAGGAACTATCACTCCAGACAAAGAACTTTTATACTGATAAGAGGGAAAAGTGGTTGGGAATGTCTTGTGGCTTAGCCTCTATTACACCATGCACATTTCAATGAACTTCAAACATACAAAGTATGTTTTCAAATCGTAAAAGAAACTAAATTATAAATAACAAAAGAAACTTTGGAAATCTTTTAAACATTTGAAAAGCAACATATTTTTATTAATTCAAGATCACAGAATAAAGGAATAAGATGAAAATGAAACTATAATCTATAATCTTTTATGGGATCCAGCTGAAAGATAATTAAGGTAAGCGTTAGTTTCAAACATAGAAAGGAAGAAAACCTAAAATCAATCATCTTAACTTCTAACTCAAAGAGCTATAAAGATAAGGTCAAATCAAACCCAGAGAGGCATCAGGCAGCAAACTGTAAAGAGTAGAGTGGAAATCAACAAAATATGAACCAGAAAAACAACAAAATAAAAACTAATGGGGTGGGAGAGAAGGAAGAGTAGGAAAATTTAACAACTGAAACCAAAAGCTGGTTTTCTAGAAAGATTTGCAAAATTAATGAACTTTAGTTAGACTGACCTAAAAAAAGGAGAAAAGACATAAATTATCAAAATTAAATCATGGGATATTACTACAAAGGCTACAGAAAATCCAAAGGATTATGTATTATTATGAATACTTTTCTACTAACAAAACTATAAAATTAGATAAAATAAGATGCCTAGAAAGACATAACCAAAATTGACAAGTAGATAATAGAAATAAAAAAGGAATAGGAAACACAAAGACCAATAACTAGTATAGAATTACATTTAGTAACTAAAATACTTTGCAAAGACTCAGACATATATTTTATACTTCTTCCTCATTCCTGTCATTGAAACTGCCATGACCATTTAAAAATCATTTCGAAATAGTGCCTATCATACAGACTGTACATTCGTGATGCCAAAACAAATGCCACAGAAAGCCTCATCTGTTAACTTGTCATGACTAGACTGCAAACACATGTCTATTATAGCCCATTACTTAGTAAGTGTAAAATTATTCTCAAAAATCATCACCAGTGGAAAAAAATAACTTTCAAGAAAGAAAGGTGCTTCTTGGGAAGGGGCCCAATATCTAACAAGAAAAAATGGCAAGTATTTGTGGGTTAAGTCTACCTTTATGCAATAGAACCTCTATGCAATAGAATCTGTTTGGAAGTAAATATTGCAAGTTCCTTAATTTGAATAAAGCTCTCTTCTGATAATCTGAAATAGAAAAGGAAAAATGAAATCTAAAAGCTAGAGATAGCTCTTCTGAGAGTACAGAATCTTGTTACTCTTGGAATAAAATTCCATAGTACAATTTACAGAATAACATGTTGGTACATATCTATTGTTAACTTATGACATTTCCTTTCACTTTATCAAGTAAGAAGTAAGAGGTGAGGTCAAAGGGGTGGGACAGGATTAGGGACTAGAAAACTAAGCATGAAGCTTGGACTTTACTCTAATTGTGTTAGAAAACCTTTAGAATGAAGCAGGAAAATAGCATAATTTGAACTAAGAAACAAAAATTTTCTGATAGGTCAGGCAGCAGTAACACAGGGAAGACATGATACAGTCTGGACTAGAGTGGCAACAATGATAATGATGATCATGATGATACACACAGTACCTGAATCAAAATCTCCCAACAGTTTCTTCAGGTACTGTTAACTTCATGTACCTTCTCAAACCAAGGCACAGAGAGATTAAAGCAGTCTGGTAAAGAGCTAAGCTATCCCATCTGGGGTAAGATGAAAAGAAGAGTGTGAAGTAGTATAATGTTTGGGAACTTAGTTGCCAAGACTTGTTAATGGATTACAAGTAGAGATGAAGAACATTAAGAAAGATTGGCCAGGTGCTGGTGTCTCATGCCGGTGATCCTAGCTACTCAGGAGGCTGAGACCTGAGTATCCCTTTCAAAGCCAGCCTGAACAGGGAAGTCCATGATACTTTTATCTCCAATTAACCAGCAAAAAGCCAGAAGAGAAGTTGTGGCTCCAGTGGTAGAGGGATAGCTTTGATTTAAAAAAAAAAAAAAAAAAAAGGGCATAAAGACAATACCCAGTACAAGCCCCAGTACTCATGGGTAGCTGGAAGGAAGGAACGAAGGAAGGAAGGACTTAGGAACACCTATGTTCTTAGGTGTTGCTTGAGTAACATTAGGTGGTATAAATACAGAGAGAGAACACATAGAACAGGAAAAGGTGTTCCATGACCCAATGTTGGAGCACTGCAATACTTAATACTTGAACAAAGAAGGAACCAGCAAAATATCTAGTGCTGTGAAGAAAATTTGGGAGGGCAGAAAAGCAAAAGGGCAAGTATTTAGAGGTGAAGAGGGAAGAGAATGCTCCTTGAGAGACTGTAAGTGAGTCAGACGTTGTGAGATTTGGCATCATGGAGGTTCTTGGAGAGATAGAAAAGAGCCAATACCTCTAACTTTACTTTTTTTTTGGCGGGTCATGAAGCTTGAATTCTGGCCTGGGTACTGTCCCTGAGTTCTTCAGCTCAAAGCTAGCACTCTACCCCTTGAGACACAGTGCCACTTTTGGCTTTTTCTGTTTATGTGGTACGGAATCGAACCCAGGGCTTCACGCATGCTAGACAAGCACTCTACCAGGGAGCCACATTTTTAGCCTCCTAACTTTACTTTCACTACCATATATAATGTATTAAAGCTCCTAGGCAATGACTAGGAGGTCTAATTCCAGCTCCCTATATCGTGATCACAATGCCTGGAGTAGAACTGAAGTTAATGTACACTATGAAATGGAATATGAGCACTAGATTAATTCAAAGGGGTTTGTTTAATTTCAGGGAAGACTTTAGCGTGGCATCCTTTTACATCCAACTTCTAAGTCACATACCGTGAGAGATCCGTTTTGTGTGCTGGGTGAGTTGCTGCTCTGTTCTCCGTGGGCTTGTGTGTTCCCATAGAGCGTTAGGTTATGCTCACTGGTCTGGCCGGCATAGTCCTGAGTGTGTGGCACTCCATATTCTGTGGGAATTCCATTCTGCGGAGGTGGTGGAAAAGGGATGGTAGTAAAAGGCTGAACCATTGCGTCAGGAGTTGTTGTTGGCTCCTGGTTACCCTAGAAAGATGAGAGAGAAAAGGAGAATAATGTTATTTAAATTCTAATTATAAATTACTCTAAAGGTAAATATACAAAAGTCTCTGAACACTTACTGCCCAGGATTGGGGAAAAATTATTATACATGCCTGTACAGACATACTTCAGTAGACACACATGCACACTCCAACTTTTGCCTATTTGTGGTTATCAGATATTTCCAGGACTACATTAAAGTTGACCAGATACCATAGGTAAAAAGTTTCCTTTGCTGGGCACTAGCAGCTCATGCTTGTAATCCTATTTGGAAGGCTGAGATCTGAAGGATGGCAGTTTTTTTTTTTTATGCCAGCCTGAACACCTAAGTCCATATACTTCCATTTCCAAAATTAACAAACAAAAAGCAGGGTTGGAGGTGAGGCTCAGATGGTAAAACATCAGTCAAGTGAGCAAGTTAAGCAAGTATAAGGCCCTAAGTTCAAACCTGTATTTAAAAAATCATTTAAGCCGAATTAGAAAAAAAACAAACCTGGAGCTAAACTTGCCTAGCATGGGTGAAAGAAATCTTGGTTCAATCTCAATACCGGGGGTGGTAGAAATTTCTCTTACAAAATAAACTGCAAGTGGGGTCTAATTCTTTAGTGATTCTTAAAGAGAAAGAGATAAAATCCTTCAAATTACAATTCACAGCAACTGGGAGAATGCTACTGAAAGGTCTCAGAACAAGACAATATGGACTGTAGACTTCAGAAGAGTATTATTATGATGATGATGATGTCAGTTGTAGGGCTTAAATTCTGGGCCTGGGCACTGTCCCTAGCTCAAGGCTAGCACTCTACCACTAAAGCCACAGCGCCACTTCCAGCTTTTTTATTTATGAGGTGCTGAGGAATCAAACCCAGGGCCTCATGCATGCGAGGCAAGCACTCTACCAGTGAGCCATCTTCCCAGTCCCCAGAAGAGTATTATTAAAACTTAATCTCTAGGTGTCAAGCATCACAGTATAAAGAAAAAATAATCTAACTTTCGGTCACTAGGTTTCCTGCCAGCTATGAGCATCACTTCTTCCAAATGAGAAAATAATCATCTTTTTTTCCCTCTCATATCAATTATCCTTTCTTCTCAGTTTGAGAGGGGATCTCCTCCCTCTAAGAGGCAGGAACTTGTGCTTTCTAGAACATCTTCTAAACATCATCTCCATGACCTTTCTCCATGACCTTGATAGCTACTAAGTACTAGCTCAGAATCCATGAGAAAGATCTCATGTCCTTTTCTTTTTGGTGCCAGTCCTGGGGCTGGAACTCAGAGCCTGGATGCTGTCCCTTAGAGCTTTCTTGCTTAAGGCTAGCATTCTACCACTTGAGCCATTGCTCTACTTAGTACTTTTTGGTAGTTAATTGGAGACAATAGTTTCATGATTTCCTGCCTGGGATGGCTTCGAACTATGATACTCATATCTCAGCTTCCCGAATAGCTAGGATTTATAGGCATGAGTCACTTGGCTTCCAACTCATGCTATTATTTTTTTTTTTAGAGGAAGGTTTAACCATTATTACAACATTCACTCTGTGTAAAATGAAACAACAAATTTATTTTTTTTTATAGAAACAACAAATTTATAAAGGCTGGTATAAATGAAAAAGATGCAGGATCAGAACACTTAATATTCTTAAATGGCCACCACTCCCACATACCCATCATAACTTCACAGGCACTTTTGTTTGAACTGACAAATGGTTATTAAAATGAATATAATTATAATAGAATAGCTAAAACAATTTTCAAAGAGAAGAACAAAAACTGGATACTTTAATAACATCTGTTCAAGACTCATTATTAATCTATAGTATCCAAACAGACTCTTCTTACCAGTTTAAGGACAAACATATGAAACAGAAAAGAATCCAAGAAGAGATACATACACATACTGTCAATAGTAGGGCATCAAAATGTCTAATGTAAACGACACAGTTTAGGAAATAATATAAAATAGAACTACTATTAGTCCTTCTCCAAATAAATATATCCCTAATGTCTTTCTCAATCAGAAGTGGATGTCTAGAAAAAGAGGTGGATGAAACACTTTTCTAATTTGTATAGAGAAAATTTCCAAAGAGTTGGGGGGGAGAGGGAAGAAGAAGGAAGAAAGCTTGAAAATGAGACATGATCTATTATCTATTAAAACTATAAGCAGTGAGATCATATACGAAGTGATCAAGAGAACAATCTGAAAACAAATGAAAGTTTATGGAATATATAGAAATTTATAGAATATATAGAAAAAAATAGAAAAGCCAGCCACTGGTAGCTCATACCTACAATCCTAGCTACTCAGGAGACTAAGATCTAAGGATTGCAGTTTGAAGCCAGCCAGGACAGAAAAGTCCCCGTGAGACTCTTATCTCCAATTAATCACTCAAAACCTGGAAGTGGAGCTGTGACTCAAAAGTGGTAGAGCACTAGCCTTGAAAAAAGAGCTCAGGGACAGCAACAGCACCTACGCCCTTAGTTCAAACCCCACAACTGACAGAAAAAAAAAAGGAGATATTTATCTTAGTGTTTAGGAAAGTTATGTACTAAAAAATATGAAATGCAAGAAAATAGGACAATTGGGATATGTGGGATTTTCAAGATCAGAAACCTAAAAAATGGAACAGAAAAACGACAGGTCTTAGATATGTTTGCTAAGATGGAAAGAAGAGGCTAGGTGAGTTAGTGTATACGTGTAATCCCGCTAAAAAAGATTAGAGAGACAAGATCACATCTCAACCAACAAGCTGGGCATGTTGGTGCACTTTGTAAAGGCAGTAAGTAGAAGGATCTTGACATAGGCCAACCATAGGCAAAAACATGAGACCTTAAGCAAAACTAACTCAGTGATTATAGAGTACCTGTTTAACAAGAGCAAGGACCTGAGTTCAAAACCTTCCTACTGGGCTGGGAAGGTGACTCAGTGGTAGAGTGCTTGCCTTGCATTCATGAGGCCCTGGGTTCGATTCCTTAGCACCACCTAACAGAAAAAGCCAGAAGTGGCGCTGTGGTAGAGTGCTAGCCTTTTGCTGAAGAGCTGAGGGACAGTGTCCAGGCCCAGAGTTCAAGCCTCAGAACTGACAAAAACAAAACAAAATAACCCCCCCAAAACATTCCTACTACCAAATGAATGAAACAAAAAATCAAATGAGTTAAAATATTAGCAACAGTAAGAAGGAAAATGTTATTACCACTACTTCCTAATTCAAGTGAGTTATACCTATTAAGAAGTCAGACACCCACAAAAATACACACACTGACAGAAAAAGAGATGGAAGAATATAACTGAACAATTCACATAGGATGAATTACAAACGGCCCAAACTCAGTAGCAGTCATGGAAACACTGATCATTAGGCTAAGTCCATTTTTCTTGTTATCAAAATAAGCAAGGAATTTTAATATAGTTCTATAGAGGTATAACGGTCATGGATTAAAGTATACTCTTTTATTTACAATATCCAATTAGGTAAATTTTGACACATACACAAGTATCCTCATGACATCATCACCATGATCAAGATAGGGAACTATATCTACCCAATCCCCCCAGGTTTTCCTATGCCCCTAAAAGCCCATACTATTTTGTAATAAAATCTACAAATGATACTGTTTTTAATGGCAAAGATAATGACAAAAACATATGAGCAACAAGAGGACATCAACTTGCTAATGGAGTGAATTAATATGCTGCTCACAACGCCACCACCACCACCACCACCACCAACAACAACAACAAAATAAACACCCAAGCCCAAGTAGCTTATCTAGAGAAAAACAGTCCTGGTTCTTGTCTTAAAAGTTACACACTCTTAAAACCTGTCTCCAGTGTTCAAGCATCAGCTCTACTTTCAACTAAGAATTGCTATACATAAAAAAAAAAAAATCTTCCCTTTAGCTATTATGCTATATAAAACATTAAATTGTTTTTAGCCACCCACAACATTTCTCAGAAAAAAGCCTTTTTGGTCACCAATACTTTATAACTTATTTTCATTATCTCTAGGTCAGGATATAATTTCAGAGGTATATGATTTTCCCGTAAATATTTTGGGAGTCCTAGGAGAGACGAAAATAATTCTTTCCCCTTTCCTTCAAATTATTTGGTTGGTGCTTGATCTGTCCCGGTTAGCTATATGAGGCATACACAAGCATCTCAGGTTTGAACACAGATGTGAAAAAGAAAAGAACCAAATTCAGGTAGATTAGAAAAGGAAGAAAAAAAGAACAGCAAAGGGTCTGCAGATGTGTGTCCTCTACACATGAGTATCACATCCAGGAATCCTTTGGTAGGGTCTACTAACAACTGGTAGCAAAGTTTCCAAGTTAGCATTCACTAGCCAAGGGGACTTGTCCTCAGGCTCTAACTCTTGGCTTTGAGTTGTGTCTCCATTCTCTACCTTAGCCTGCTGGGAATGTGACAAAGGCACATAGCACAGAGTAAGAATTCTCCCACTGGGGCAGTTTTGACCCAACTGGCTCACTCAACTGAATAAACACATCAATTAGCAATGGGAGATGGGGAAACTGGTAAAAACATTTTCTATGATCCATTTGAAGCCTAGGCTCTGTGCACTTGCTCAAAAGCAAGCCAGGCTAAGTGAGGTTGTCTTCCTAGAAGGGAAATGCATACCTCTATTAGGAGGTCAAGAATACTTCATGTAAAAAAATGCTTTATTATTTATAGAAATGTTGTAAACTTTTTATGTTGAAATGTAACAACAATTATGTGTGTACACCAAGTATAAACTTGTGATTAAGGGTGATTTATTTTGTCTTACTGTGCAGTATTTGAGCATTTCCAAATATGTTATTACTAAAAATCAAAAATGGAGGCTGGACATCGGTGGCTCATGCCTGTAATACTAGCTCTAAGGAGGCTGAGATCTGAGGATCATGGTTCAAAGCCAGCCCAGGCAGGAAAGTCCATGAAACTCTTATCTCCAATAAATCACCAGAAAACTTGAAGTGGTGCTGTGGCTCAAGGGGCA